CCTTTTCCAACAGGATTTGCACATAATCCTCACCATATCCTATCCTTACATTGCACAAAGACAAGTAGATCTCATAAGTGATTACAATTTGTTCTTGTTGCTGATCACATTGTCACAAATCCTGCCTGATGTGATAATTGTGGCTAATTTAGACAATTTTGCTTTCTAATCGTAGGAGCATGCTTTTTTTCTATGCTTGGAGAAACATTAGGTGGCCAACCCTGAGCTCAATATTGGTATTGCAGCTCATCGTATTGCAATTGCCCTAGGTGACCTATAAATCCGATCCATTGCTTGTGAATGTTGTATTGCAGAAGGATACTTAAATAAAATGTAAAAAAAAAAGAAACAGCAAACGTATTCACAATACACACAAAGAAAAAAAAAAAAACGACTGAAATTATTATCACATCACCTGTAAATAAAAAGACAGCTCATTTTATACTGAGAAGTTTTTTTTCACTGCCTCTGTTTATCTATGGTGTGGCAGCTGTCTCTGAAAAAGTTACTGACATTTTTTCCTAATCCCTTTTTAACAGAGTTAGGATGGATTGAAAACAGATTGCAAAGTAGCTATTGTGTGTCAATTTAGGCTGCAGATCTAATCCTTCCATTATCTGCTAATAAAGCCGCTGCACAAGTCACATAAACCACATCCGATTTTTTCGTAAGTTGGTTTTTGCTGAGTTTTATTTCCTAAGCGTTTGAAAAGAGCACACAGGATCCCTCTGTAACCAAAGACATTTTTGTCAAAGTTGTCCAAATAATGACCTAGTATAAAAAAAAAATAAAACAATGTTTTTCCGCCTGCTTTTTTAATTTCCTCAGAACTAAATCTTACAAACATTGATTTAGCATATCGTGTAATAGATAATATAGTCACAAGAAATAGAGGAAGTCCAAAAAGAGTTCATACTTAAAGGGGACCTGTACTGAAAGGAATACAGGGCTGTCACTGCTGACCTACTTCTTAAAATGATAGGTGCTTGCTTGTCTCTAAATTATGAATTCGAGCTCCTGGAGTTATTTATTAAACAAGTAGAGGCTGTTCACCTACCAACGTGAGTGTTCATTTTGCAAAATGAATATTAGTAAGGTAAAGGTGTGCTTACCTAATAATGTGCGAGAGAAATGTAAGCAGGATTTTTGCTAGCACATGATTGGGTATTTAAAGTGAACACAGCTTTACCTGATACACTACCATACACTTTGCTATGTTCAACAAGAACTCTAGGCAGACATTGTATTAACTCTGGCAGTGGGCTACCTCTATAATGCAAGGTTTAACTGCTCATTTTTGCCTAGGGTCAAAAAAAAAAGTTATACTCTCGATCTGACCAGCTCTTAGACCGGCCCCTGGAGCATCTCTCCCCCGATTCTGCAGTGCTCTACGAATCCTTGAGTCATCATATCCAATACCGTTTATAGGATGCGAGGACGGCAAGGCGCATATCATTGCTGCAGGTGAGGAGTAGAGAGGCTAAAGGGAGCGCTGCAGGATCAGGTGAGTAGAACTTTAGGTTTAAGTGAACACATAATATAAATATAAAATAGTGAACTCTTGATCTGCACACTTTTTCGGAGTCATTGACTCAGAATGTACTGAAGCATTTATGCTAGGTTCACATCTAGGCAATTTAGTGTGCGGATTTACCTGCGTGATATCGCACAAAACAGAGATGTGCATTCAAGTCTATGGAAACTGTTCACACCTTTGCGATTTGTCATGCGGTAGAAATTGCCTGTCGAGCAAAAATGTGCAGGAGCTATTTTTGGGGCGGTTGTCTCACGGTTTGGGTCCCATAGACATCTCTATGCATTGAAAACTGCATGTCAACCCTGTGGTTGTCCTTAGTGTTACTTTTCAACAGTGACGTGCAGTACGTTCCATGCTAGGTGTGGCATTCCCCTAGAATCTTTTTTTTTTTACATTTACATTTCTCACAGTATCTTTTTTAATGTACAGGAAGGTGACTCACAAAACTGAATTAGAAAATAGTCATGTCAACTGCCTGATTGTGCAGCATGGCAGGGGTATGTGAATCAAGAGTGGCTGTCCAGGTTTTAGGTTTCTCTGGCAGTTTAAAAAGTTCATAAAATAGGGCAGTAATGTGCAGTACCTTCCCCAGCCCACCGATGCACCGCTCCCAGCCCGCCGACAACCGTCCCCCCAACCCGGTCACCAAGCTATGTGTGGAGGAGGGAGGGAAAAAGGAGGAGACAGTGAGGAGTCTCCCTGTCTCTCACTTGCTCATCACTGGTGAGGCATTGTGATTGATGTACTCAGTGGGGTTTTTTCTTTTTGATTGGACAGCTTGCAACAATGGCCCAAACCATCCACAGAGCTCAAGCCTCTAACACAAAGTAGAGGCTCTGGCCTCATTATGTTAGGTTACACAAGCAGTGGGGAACCCCGCTGTTGTGTAACCTAACTTAGCTGTCAGAAGCAGGATGCAGCGCCGCCTGTAAATAACAGGCAGCACTCCATCCATGACAGGTTACACAGTGGGGAGACAATCTTGAAGCTGACAACTTTTTCCTCCATAATACTAGGCAGGGGCGGACTGGGCCGGGGGGCAGGGTGGCAATTGCCCCCCGGGCCTCTGTGCTGCCTTTAAAAATGGCCGCTGCCCTCGGACGTCAGGGGGCCCGTCACTGGCTAATAGAATTTTACGGCCGCCCGGTGCAGTGGCTCCCTCCGCCGCCACTTACAGAGTACAGAGCCGCTACAGATGCGGCTCTGTACACGGCGGCTGATTACTCCTCTAGGCTGACCTCTGGAGGACCCCGCGGGCGGCCCTCTAAAGTGCCTGATTAGATCCAGCCAGCGCGGATCGCATAGGTATGCGATCCGGGCTGGCTGGATCAGGCACTGTAGAGGGCAGCCCGCGGGGGCCTCCAGAGGTCAGCCTAGAGGAGCGAGCGGCCGTCGTGTACAGAGCCGCATCTGAAGCGGGCTGGCCGGCCAGGTGCATGTGGCATAGAGGCAGTGGAGGGAG